GCCGCGGGAACGCGGGCTGGGTGGGTAAAGGGTACAAACCCTGCCCCCCCCCCCCCCCCCCCCACAGACGTGACCGACAGCTAAGCGACGGTTTGCCATTCCTCACAGACGTTACCGACAGGGGGGCAATCATCTATCACAGACGTTATCGGTAAACTCAATAATACCTTCATAGGCGTAACTGACAAACTCAATGATCTCGTTACAGACGTGACAGACAGCCTGAATACCATCTGACAGACATCAGCGACATATTAAAACACTCCTTATTAAGAAATCAGATCTGTAGTAGGGCTACACAAGTTCAAGCTCAAGAGCCGACTCAAAAGAACTTTAGAACTGCTCAGTTGTTCAATGTGAACAAGCTGAACTGTTTCAAAGGAAGCGATTCTGAGGTTGAGTTGATCTTTGCAGACCCCTAATCTATAGACGTAATCAGGAACTTCAAAATGCTAATTATTCAGACAAGCTTTGAACGACACACTGAGACAATCTCTAAAAGTGCAGAATTAGATGATTGAAATGCGAAATTTAAACTTGAATAAATTTTTGAGTTGGAATTTGAGGAAAAATTGGAGAGAAAAGCTGTTTCTGTTGAATCATCTGTAGAATTAGATTGAACTTGAAGATCAATAATGTTGAATTCATTGTCGACTGAATGAATTGATCACTCTGGAATATTTTTTAATCTTCTTTAGTTTCAATAGAAACAACAGGGTTGACATAAATTGAACCTTTAGAAATTGAAACTAAATTATTTACTTCAAATAATATTGATATATAATATTTTTCGCATCTGTCTATTGAAAGTATGACAGAAAACTTCCATTAAAAATCATTATTCTCCAAGTTCCGATAGTTTCATCGTGCTTCACTTTTTTAATCCCACAAGGGATTGCGCTGAAAGCTTTTATATTGAGGTTCATAGCTCTGCTATGGTGACACTTATAATGAACAATATTGGTGAAGAACTGACCAGAGACCAGTAATACATGTTTCATTGATTTAATTTTATCGCCTCTTGCTTTTTTCTACCGATTTCTTTACCTGCGATAAAAGATGTAGCGTCTGAAGTTAGAATATGACTGAAATATTCTTGTCTTTTCTACTCAAAAGAGACTTTTGTGTAAGTCTATGTGAAGTCATCCATGAATCCAACCGCATCTAGCGTATTAAAATATTGTTTAATTGTGGTAGTATATAATGTCCTGTATAAAACACTCAATAAACTTGAAATCTAATAGAGAATAGGTTTTTCAGATAATTTTCCCAAAGTAATCCTTTTCTTTTAGAAAAAAACTGTGCTATAATCGCATCCCATTTGAGAACCAACATGTGGTAACCCTAGCTATTGGACACACTTGTATTCTCATCGATCATTGGCTCCACAGTAACAAAATTTTGAACTGAATAGCTGTCGGTGTGGACGTGGTGTTCAAAGAAAAGAAAACATAATCGAATCTGTTCTATTTTGCAATGGATACTGCTTTTTCATGTCTAATGAATCGAATGAGAATGACTTGTTTTAATTTTAGATTTGGCTATTATCAATCATCGAATATTCATATTTCATAGAATACTTGTTGGATTAAACATTTACAAGTAAGTGTTCGACTTACTCGTGACAGTTTGTTTGTCCGGATAACTCCATTCTCATCTTTGGTATCGCCGTCGTTTTTTCAAGAATTATTCATTTTGTGCTTTCTCTTGTCTGATAAGTGATGCTGATTGATTGCGTTCTAAACACAATAAAGATGAACATCAGAGAAAAAGCGAAACAACTCTATATGCTTCGAACGAACTATCCATTGGACATTTCATTACTAGTATTGGGTAGAGTTGACTCGGTTTTGAATCACCAATAAAAATCTCTACCTTTCTCTGCGGATCACACACACCTGACTACTTCCTTACTCCATCTTAGACAAAATTCTATCCGGGTCATTATTGAGTTGGATTTCAATTTTTTTCTTTGTAGTGACAACGACTGGTCAATATTTTCGAGAGTTCTGGCGAAAAACAGTCCGATATGTTCAAAACTACAATCTATTTCACTCCATTCCACCCTCGACCGATAAATATGATCTTCAAAATCAACGCATATCAACATGGCTATTCATTTGTTTTCTTATTTTCTCTTTAGTTATTCTTCTATTGTACAATTCATTAGCCACCGTTTCCATTACAGAAACGATTAAATCACCTTCGTTCGACGAATATGAACAACTGTATGAGAAATATCCTCAAACACTCACATGTCCATGTAAGAAAATACTCATAGATTATGAACATATTCTCGATATTCATTATGAATTACATCAAGTATGCACGAGTACGTTTATCACTAACGCCTGGTTTATTTATCTTGCTCATCCTGATCAGAATAACAAAATATCTTACAGAGATTTCCGATGGTTAGGTTCGTCTACTTTTCAAGCTTTGAATTCATTGTGTCAGTTGGTTCATCAAACAATCTTAGACAGCCGACAACAGTTTTTATACAATCAATATATTAGTATTACAGTTACATCTCGGAATCTATTTGAGTTCCAACTTCGAACATTTGTTCAACAGCTGAAATCATCCATAACAAATAATTTTGTTTTCTCGCTCGATCTTGTACGCAATAGCACTCACACTAATGGATTATACTCGGCACTAGACACAAACTACCGTTTGTTTCTAGTCGTGTCAAACACGTTTATTGAATCTGGACCGATTATGTACCCGAAAAATTGTCCCTGCGAAGTTTCGCCAACATGTTCCGGCCCTTTAGCGATTTACAATTTTTCCGATTCAACACCAGTCTTTGTTGTACCTGGTATGCATCGTGCATGTTATATAATCGAAGCACTTCTGCAATCTACTCTCGAATGTTTTTATAATCACGCATGTCTTCAACGGCTTCAATCATATATTTTATCCGAAGTACCAATTGGTATAACACCTCTGAATGCAGCATTGAAAAGCAGTTACTCAATCAATTCCACAATCAAACAACTCCTTGATCAGTTAATGATTGAAGAATGGACATGGTCAAGTCATTACGAGCAATATTATAATCACTGTCGACCTGTTGACTGTAAGTATAGTTATAAGTCAACAAATAGTGTTATTTATATAGTAACAGCATCGATTGGACTTCTTGGTGGTTTAGTTACTGTTTTGAAAGTAATGATCCCACTATTAGTGCAAGTAATAAGAAAGAGAAGACAAGTGCAAACATCAGACAATAGTAAGTGATCACATGTTTATATCCTAGCTTCAGCAAGAGTTGAATTTCAAACGAAGTCATCAAAACCCTTCATCCGATATGCAATGGCGTAGAGATATCACAAAGTGATCTAACTGAAACCAGACGAAGCAGCAGTTTTACTTGCCGAAAATAGTGCTAATATAGATGACTGTCACTAATGAAATCCTATCAACAAAAATGAAGACCTAGTTTAACCATGTGTGGCAATTTAGACTGACAATTAGGCATCATTTTTTGAACACAGTTTTCTCGTGAGATTCTTAAGAAAGACTCAGACAAAAAATACGATTATTTCATTTTATGGAGGTCAGATCACCATCAGAATATATTTCAATGTCTTTGGAAGTATACATTGAGCGTTTTCTGTTAAACCTGACTGACCACTCCTAACCAAGCTAGATGAAGTAAAATACACGAAATTAATCTATCTACTGCATTAAATATCGAAGATATTCATAGATTTCGTTGTATCTACGACATGCATCTTTGACTGATACTATTCCAAAACGACGTAATCAAATACAATAGACATACATTGAGAGTTGTCTAGGTCGCTACACGTCTTTCATCAATATGATTTATTTTTAGCTCCGACCTTGACTGAACGATTGCGACGGGTGATTCGTACATGCAAAGATTATGTAGTAACACTCAATTTGTTTGAATGTGTACCACCCTCAACCGATGAACATGATCTTCAAAATCAACGCATATCAACATGGCTATTCATTTGTTTTCTTATTTTCTCTTTAGTTATTCTTCTATTGTACAATTCATTAGCCACTGTTTTGATTATAGAAAGGATTAA